ATTTCCCTTCTATTCTCCCTCTTAGGAGGAAAATTGAATGCATTCACATTTAGTCTGATCGCTTACACTATTGAATTGTTTATTCCAACTTATTTTATAGTTTCACTTTATTTCCTTTCATTTTTTTTTAAACTTCCCTGACATCTCTTGGTTCCCTCTTTACTGTCAAATTGTATTTTTCTCTTTATTTTTATTTTCTCAGTCTCTGTATTTTAATGCACAAAATTAGAGTTGTACTTTCCGTCAATATCTAGAACTAGTTAGCTTTTCTGTTACTCTGCTAAATGATAAGAGTTTTAGAATACTACTTACATCTTCTTTACCCCCACCTCACCCTCTCTCATGCCAGAATCACCTGGGATATTCATTCGAAACAGGTAATTAATTTTTCCAATCAATACTTTTGAATCTAAAAGATATACTGTTTTGTTTTATTTTGTGCTTTTTCTCCTACATTTCTTTTTTATCTCCTGGCTTTCCCTGCTTGTTTTCCTGAACAGCTTCTAGTAATTCTTGTAGAGTGTGTCATGTAAAATGTTTTGGAGCCTGTATTAGTTTCCTATAGCTGCTGGAACAAATTACCACAAATTTAGTGGCTTAAAACAACAGAAATATATCCTTTCTCGCAGTTCTGGGGGCCAGAAATCTAAAATACGTCTATGGGGCTAGATTCCTTCTGGAGGCCACAGGGGAGAATCCATTTTCAGCTCACAGAGGGTGCCTACACGCTGGGCCTCAGGACTCTCCTCCCCCTCACAGCCAGCAGTATGGACTCTTCACAACTCTCTTTCTTTGTCTTTTTGTGTCTTCTTGGAACCTTCTGTCTCTTTTTACCTTCTTCTCTTCCTCTTAAAGGACTCTTGTGACTATATCTAGGGCCTACCTGGACAATCCACAATAATCTCATTTTGATATTCTTAATTTAATCACATCTGCAAAGGCTTTTTTTTTTTTGGCCATATGAGGTAACATTAGTGGATTCTGGGGATTAGGACATACATCTCTTTGGAGAGCCATAATTCAGCCCACCACAGTGCTTTTGCCCAAATGATCCTGTGTTTTTTGTAATCTCTTGTGTGAATGAGAATTTGACTGGATGTCAAAAGTTGCAATGTGCTTTATCTTCAGAATCTTGCCAGTATTTTATCTTGATATTATTCTTTATGCTGTTAGTGCAAAAGGCAGTCATTCTAGTGAGGAAATGATTGTGCTGTTACAGTGATTATCTTTGGTGCAGATATGTTTTTCTACATTTCCTCTAGTTAGAGTTGCAGTCCATATTTGCATAAATCCTGGAAACAGTAAGCTTTGCTACCCCTTTGCCAGGGGCTTAAAGCATTTGCTTCATAAGAAAGAAAGCCTAAGGACAGTGCAGAGCTTTGCACCGTCCCCTTCCTGCCCACACACCCATTTATGTGACAACCCACGTCCCTTCCTCCTGTCTCTGCAACAAAAGATATAGTTTGTGTGTCCAGAATTTCCTTTGAGGGCCTTATTCCTCTTTGAACTGCTTATTCCATTGCCTTGGACTTCACTATTCTGATGGGCTCTCTCAAAGTTATCAATCTCTTAGTTTTTCTGCTTTAGCTTATTGTTTAAGTGGGAATGACATCTTTGTTCTTTCTCCATCTTAAGCAAAAGCAGAAGGCTCCCTGGACCTTTCATGAAGAAAATCCACTCAAAATATAGAATGCTAATTCCATAATAGCTCCATTTCATCCTACAATGAGTGACAACCTTAGTTATCTACTGAGTTTAATCTAAATTGGAATCAAATGAATTCCAGTTGGACGGCTAACTAGTTTTATTACATAGTTGCACTTCCTATCATTAGATCACTTGATCTATATAACTTCATAGTAAAAGCAAAGCAAATAACTCTCCTGGGTTTAAATAGCCCATCTTCTCAGAAATAAAATTATATTGTCTCATGTAATATTGTCTATCTAATTCAGATATATATGTCTCCAGCCGTCAATTTTACTTTTTTAAACTGATTTGTTTTTCACTTGTTTCATAATGTAGTGTGAGTGCTTTGCATCCTTGATAAAGTTATATTGAGCAAAAAAAAAAAACTATTTTGAAATAGAACAAATTCCCTTTATAATAAGGTACACTTAATTGTAGACTGTAATACAATTGATTGATCTTATAGTCATTCTTATTACAACAAAAATTAATAATGGGAAGGGCAAAGAGAGCAATTATAGATGGCCAGGTGTTCATTGAACACTTCTGGTTGGATTTGCTAGTCTGATGCCCTGTACTAGCACTGAAAAATCCTTTTGAAGAGCATTTCAGTACAATATTAGAAATAAATTAACTCACTTTTTTTTTTTAGGTTTTTTTTAAGATTTTATTTATTTATTTGAGAGAGAGAGAGAGAGCACAGCAGGGGGAGGGGCAGCAGAGGGAGAGGGAGAAGCAGGCTTCCCCCTGAGCAGGGAGCCGATGTGGGGCTCGATCCCAGAACCCTGGGATCATGACCTGAGCCGAAGGCAGACGCTTAACTGACTGAGCCACCCAGGCGCCCCAACTCAGACACTTTAAAAAGCCTTAGATTACATGGGTGATTTGTGACCTTGATGAGTGACCTTGAGCAAGTCACTAAGCCTGTCTGGAACTGTACTTCCCCACATGCAAACTGCAAGGACTGAATTAAGTCATCTTTTAAGATCCCTTGCAGTGCTCTGACTTGGAGTACAGACAGCCCATGAAATTAAAAGATCATTTACTGCTTTTTTGTGCTTCTTTTACACTTCTCTATAAACTGTGATGGCTAAATTTCAGCTAACATCCCTTACAGCCTCCTCATAAATGTTGTGATTTTATATACTGCCCATTATATGGGTAACTTTTTTCTCAGATTAATGGTTTCCTCCAGGGAATGTAGATTTTTGGATACCCTGACAGAAGTAACTATCCAGAAGTATTTATTCTCTAGGCCTGACTGGGAGTGGAAATATATTGTTTGATTCCCCTTGTATTCTACCTTCCCCCCGCTTCCCCAAGCCCTGAAATTCCTTTCCTTAGTGGACCATAGAAGGAAGCAATTTTATTGCCACCTAGATGTTCTAACCAAGTGGCTGGGAAGGAGAACTCAGCTTAAACTCCTGAGGTCCACTCAAGCTTGGCTGTGAATAAATAATGGCAATGTTTATAGATTTCAGAAGAGATCCAAGGAACACAAAACTACATTGCTTTCAAATTATTTCAGGAATGAGTTCTGGGTGAATGGACTTTCAGGGTGAGTAATGGGTTAGTCAGGCAAGCAAGGAGCAGGGCATGCTGAGGCTTTGATCTGAAGCTTGGCAGCACCAAGAGGTACAGAACTGTTCCAAACTGGAATGGCTTGAGCACAGCCTTGATAGACACGAGATAGGATCAGTAAGGAAGAGTCCTTAAGGACTCTTAAGGACAAGTTCATCTGGACCCAGGACACAAAGGGGGATGGGGGTGACAAATGGTTACTCAGAAGTAGATATTTAAAACTTCTGAAAGGTATGTGAGTATTCAAGTTTTATAAAGTTCTGAATTTTCATCTTCTCATGGTTTAAGGTATTAAAATTATTTTATCAGATCAATTTATATAATATGTTAACCCTTGTCTGTCATAGGCTTTCTAAATATGATCCCAATTTATTTTTTTGCCTTTGAGAGGTATGTTATTTTTTACTATTGAAAATATAATTTTATGTATTAATATTTATAAGTATTTTCCATTTTGGTCTGTGACTTTGCTGTTATGTCTAGTAAATCCTTCCCACTCCTCTAAAATTACATAAATATTTAACTTTGTTGAGTATTAATTTGAAAGATCATCTATATTTTAAGCAAATTGTTATATATCCTTGGTTTCTCTGATCTGTCTTTCTGCATCGTTGCCTGCTTTGTAATTATTTCATTCCCTTATATGGAAAAATCCCTGCAAAGGAAAACTTCCTTAACTCATTATGTCTTTATCAAATTTTGTTGGTGTTTCTCACACGCATTTCATTTATTTCATATAATTCTAAGATTATTTTTACGTATATATTTAAAAAGTCTACCCATGTGTGAAACTCAGTTAAAACCACTCATATTATTAGTTCTGACTTGAGATAGCACAGTTTAAAAGAAAATCAAAGGAAAAACTTAACTGCATTCAAAGCTTTATCTGCTAGTCTGAAAGCCCTTAGTGGGCTTATTATTTATTAATGACTATTATTTTATTGATATGGTTTGTTTCTAGCCAGATGTATGTATAAATGCACATTCAAATGGCTCTAAATGTTTCTAACCAAGTTAAATGATTTACCATTCTCCGATAACCAAAATATCTAATAGTGTGTCATTGGTAGACTATTTGATGCATCTTTTCTTTGCAAAGTGATTATGTCACCAACGTGCTTATTTACAAGAAATGACATGCCATCAATAGCTTCATCTCCTTGAGGTCTTCCAACATATCCACAAGGACCATATTTCTGGTAGAATGAGGAGGTCACCATTTTACCTGACATAGTTTGAGAGGTACAAAGAATGTCTCTAAAGAAGAACATTTCCCTTTTTGATGCCTTATCTTTTTGTTTGTGTGAGATTCACTACCTGTAGTAGAGGCCATTGATTTCGAATTGCTTAGAAATCAATTATGAATGAATGTATCACACCACTTTTCTCCTTAAGAAAGTAGAAAGAAATAGAAGACAGTGAAAGAAAATAGGAAGAACAAAACTCTACATTTATTTACTTCATAATTTTGCCTGGTGTAAAACTGACTCAGGTTTTGCTTAAGTACCACAGGTTACCTGTATCAGTCTTGCAAAGAACACATTTTCACTAAAGTTAACATTTTTATCTCTTACCATTCTAGAATGAGGTATTTTCCTTTCCAGCTTTTGATGGGAACGTAAAATTTTCACACTTCCCTGGAACAAGTGTCATGAGTGAGCTATAAGCTAAAAAAATAGAGGTTTTCTTGTCTTTGAATATGGAATAATTTTTATTCTTTTCCCTTTCAGTTTCTTCTTTGTGGCATATGTGGAATACTGTGCGCCAAAAAAAAATCTGGACTTGTCGTAAGTTTCTGCCTTGTTTATATTTTGCATTGAAGTATTTGAAACGTAGGAACCTGAAAATGGAAATGATGACAAGCCAACTTTCACATAGTGAATGTTACTCATTTAGGATGAAAAGAGGACCGACCAATAAATACTGGCTTTTTCATTTTCAAAAAAAAAACCATCAAGATTATTAGAGACTATGACAAAAGAAAAAGAAAGAAAAGCTTTGATATACTCTTTAAATGCATGAATATGCAACCCATAATGACTGCTGTGGTTGACAATCTCCACTTTCCCGGTTTATAGATGCCCAGACACTCACATGAATCCTTCAGTAAGCTAAAAAAGACATGGCCTGAGTTCATGGGAAATTTAACTGTTTCAATGTGGAACTGGGCCTACGGATTACTGGCTTTGACTGTGAAGTCAATTTTGCAGTGCGGCAGAACAGCTGGGTGGTTATAGTTACAGTGAATGCCCAATGATTTTTTTTATTTAATTTTATTTTATTCCTGTGAATGCAAACGTGTTTTCAGATGTTTTTCAGTACTGCCATGGGTTTCCGGGGTATGGAACATACTCCCAGTTAACTCTGATAATGGCTGGAGGAGAACTTCTGTATGCCGAAGGGTGGGTTCCCCACTTCCCTCCATGATGTTTTTTTGAGAGTTCAAAAGAGGGGAAAAGCATTGGTTATTTTTTTGTGTGCAATAGGAAAGATCATAGACTTTTTTTTTTTTTTTTTTTAAAGATTTGTCTTTATTTTTGACAGAGAGAGAGAGCACAAGCAGGGGAAGCAGCAGACAGAGGGAGAGGGAGAAGCAGGCTCCCCGCCGAGCAGGTAGCCTGATGCGGGGCTGTATCCCAGGACCCTGGGATCATGACCTGAGGCGAAGGCAGACGCTCAGCCAACTGAGCCACCCAGGCACCCCAAGATCATAGACCTTTATAAGTTGACAAAATTAATACTACACTTGGACCCTAGAAAGTGGTCTTTGATCCTAAAAAGAGTTTTCCAGGAGGAGGCCAGTTATCTTAGGAGGGCAGGGATGGGATTATTAGTTATTTTTGTTTAACTACTTTTTTGAATCACATCTTTTTGTGTGAGGATAACTCTTGTGACCAAAAAATGAAGCACCCATTGCCTTAGACATGTGAGATGGAATTTTTTAAAGTTACATAAAGGGAAAGCATTAGATACAGATTTTGGGAGGCTTGTAATTTGCATCTATGAATCTTCTATCACTTTTTAGACATGGCCCTCATTCTCTCTCTACTTTTATTTTACCGGCGTCTTTATGGCTATATAATAACAATTTCTTGGAACTTAGAAGAAAGAAAGAGAGAGGAAGGAAGGAAGGAAAGAAGGAAGGAAGAAAGGGTGGGCAAACAAAGAAAGAAAGAATGAGGGAAGGAGAGGAAAATAGAGGGAGGCAGAGGAGAAAGGGAACAGGGGAAGGAAAGGGAAGGGAGATGTCTTCATCTATTTGGGCTGTTATAACAAAGTATCATAGACTGGGTGGCTTATAAACAACAGAAATTTATTTTTCACAGTGCTGGAGGCTGGACCCAGACTAGGGACCCATTTTGTGTAGCTAGGTTCTGGTAAGGTTCTCTTCCAGGTTGCAAATGTTTGACTGTGTCCTCATTTGGCAAAAGGGGAAAGAAAACTCTCTAGAATCTCTTTTATAAAAACACTGACCCCATTTATGAGGACTCCACCTTCCTGACCTAATTATCTTCCAAAGATCCCACCTGCAAATACTATAGTATTGGGGATTAGGCTTCAACATTTGTATTTAGAGGGACACAAATATTCAGTTCATAGGAGAAGGGAAGAGAAAGAATTTTTAAACAGGCACTAGTGTCTTTTTTCTGTCTTTCTAATTCTCTTAAGAGTTATTTTAAAAAATCATAAGAGCTGAACCTTTTATAAACTACCATTCACTTTAACCTCTTTTACCCTCTGATATTCCCATAGATGACATTTAGCTATCAAGGATTCTCTATCCTTCAATCAAATTGCATGATAATTTCTCCACTCCAAATATCTCTCGAGTCTAAATTCTCTAGTCTGGTGAGATTTGAAAATCATATATGGTTATAAATGTGGGTATAGATTTTAATATTTTAATTCTTAGGTGAGAATGTTCTGTTCACACATGTTAATGAATGCCTTTCAAGAATGAATGAGACTAATATCAGGAGAGATTACATGTTTTCTTATAATAGTCAAATAATTTGTCATTTACTTTCGTAAATAGTATTCATTACTTGAAGGCTAGAATGTAACATTTTCCCATATTTTCTAAGAATGAGTCAACACCAAAATATTTCCCAAGAAACTGCATGCTATCTGAATATACTTTAAAGGTAGTATATTGATTCTATGTGAAACTGGGAGCAACAGGTTCCCACTTGGGATGATTCAGTTATTTGGTCGTTGATATTCAGCATTATATTTAATCAACTATAAAAAGATATTCATCCATCATTGGATTTTCAGTCTTGACGACAAATACTGTGAGACAGACACAATAAAGATGCTGAATTAAGTTAGAGAAACAAAACAAACTATTTGTAATTCTTTCTGCCCACCATGCTATTTCATTATGCTATTTCAGGTATCTGTGGCCTTACCCTTTTCTGGGAACTGCATGCACTTAGTTTAGATGACATGTTATCAGGGAAGCCTTGTCTGAAACCCCTGGCTGGGCTACATTCTCCACCTCCCTAATCCAAGGGCAACCAATTCATCCCTCTTTTTTTTTTTTTTTAAGATTTTATTTATTTGACAGAGACAGACACAGCAAGAGAGGGAACACAAGCAGGGGGAGTGGGAGAGGGAGAAGCAGGCTTCCTGCAGAGCAGGGAGCCCAATGCGGGGTTCGATCCCAGGACCCTGGGATCCTGACCTGAGCCAAAAGCAGATGCCCAACGACTGAGCCACCCAGGTGCCCCTCATCCCTCTTTCTTAATATTTGCCATGCCATGTTGAAATGTGGGATCTTCTCTCACACAAGACTGCAGAGTACTCAAGGGCAATAACTCTGAGCTATTCTTTTTTGTAATGCCAACAGCTGCCTCACTCAGGGCCTAACAGATGCTAGGTGCTCAATAAATGCTTGCTAAACTCAGCTAAATGGCAACAGCAAATAATTCCTGATAGTGTAAAATTAAATGCTAAATTAAATTACATAGCTGTTTGCCCGATGGAATTATACCAAAGGAGGAGATCAACAAATCCAGGAAGGCTTTCTGAAGCAGTTAGGACTGCCTTTGGGCCTTCCATCTAGGAGTCCAAGAAAGAAGCAATATCATTTCCAGGAAATGGAAAATATCATTGAGGTGGGAATGAACAAGTTGTAGGATTGGCAAGAGAGAGGACTGTAGTGGAGACCATGTTCTGGAGAAAAATGGAAATAAATGTAGATAATTAAATTAGTATCACACTCTAAAGTATAAGGAAAGCCCATGGGGGAATTTAGACAAAATGCAAATATAAAATAAAATCATTAAAGCTTTTGGAATATTCAGTTACATTTATGATATTTAGGTAGAATAAAACCCCGGAGGTCTCTTAACAGAGACCCAGATCAAACCAATAATAGGATCAAAAGCAAAGCCACATCCTGTGTTTCCCCAAAACAACCAGATGGTATTTTTGGAATGTCTACTGTGTATTCTTCATTGTGGTGCCACAGAGTAACAAAAGATTTGTAATATAAAGGGCCAGTTCACAGGGAGTCCCTTAACTATCCTTTGGGGAAATCGATACACAATAAAACTCCTAGGAATGAAAAAGAGAAGTAACCAAATTCCCCCAGATCATTTAGCTAGAGAGGTATAAAGATCTGCAGTTTGGTGAACTCATGACAGTTCAATGAGAAGATATTTAGATATTTTAGGGGGATTAACATAGTGAAACTGGATTTAGAGTCAGAAAATCTGGATTCAGTCCCTACACTTGAATGTTACCTGCTCACCATTCCTCCAAAATGTATATTACGATTTCTCTCAGAGGTTTGCTGGGCGGGTTAATTGAGATAGTATCTGTTCAAGTTCCTAGCATAGTAAGCACATGATAGATAGTAAGTAAATATTATTTAAATCTGAATCTACCTTGAAGACAAATTTTGCTTATTTCAGTGTTTTCAAAAGATGTATCCCTGGCCTTCATACAGTCAGCGATTAATTCCGAAACACTGTGGTCTGCGCTCTTTCCACTGAGTCCGATTGCACAGAAACTTGGTGAAAGGTTAGCTTCTGTCCTCTGAGAAGCACCCAAAGCTCCTTGCCTTTACTGTAGCTCAGCTATCCTTGAGGTGCAGCCAGGACAGTGCACTGTGTCCTGGTCAGCTTTGTTTCCTCGACTTTGATACTCCCTTTCTTTTTCTTATCAGATGATCCTTTTCTCCGCCTGCTGCATCTGTGGACTCATTGGGGGCATCCTGAATTTTCAGTTCCTTCGGGCAGTGACAAAGAAGACCTCTTCCCTCTATCCTCTGCATCTCGCCTCCATGTCCCTTGCGTGCATCGGGATCGGCGGCTGTACCCTCTCTTCCTGGCTCACTTGTCGACTAGCCAGCTACGAACAGAGGAGGATGTTCTCTGAAAGGGAGCATTCTCTGCACCACTCTCATGAAATGGCTGAGAAAGTGAGTTTTGTAGCTCTTCTGTTCACTGCTAGCATGGTATGAAGGCTGCAGTCAAATCTTGGTCAATCATCTGGCAGCTTTAGAAGAGAATTTGAGGAATTGGATTTTCTAAAACTTTGGCCCTAGTGGGCTAAGAATAGGAATTTTTTATTTTTTTTTTTCTCTGCTATTTGGGGTACACCTATTTTCAATAATTTCAGAGCTCTCTATCTATACCAAAACCCAGTTCCTAAAATAGCATTCCATAAAATATTGAATGCCTTATAAATATGGATTTTTATGTGTTGTACTGAGGAAAAACACAAACTAAATACCCTCTCAACTCAATAGTGCCAGTTGTAGAAATCTGATGAATTCCCCTTTCTAGCTCACCTCCTGTGCTTGTAATTAGATGCATTTGATTATGTAAATTAGATTTTGAAGCATAAAAGGACCTTTTAATAAGGCAACAAAAAGCCTTGCCTACCAGGGCAGATATTACAATCCACATAAAGCTTCATTAAATTCTCATCTAAACTTCATGCATATTTCGGTAGCTTTGCCTATATTTTAAATAATATTCTTGCATAATTGTTTCATGAAACTCATTCAAACAGGAAGTAACATTTATTGCTTGAAGGACAAATGATATAGTGAGCTGTCTGTGTTTCTATTGCATGTTGCACATATTTCTTAATTCAGTTCCTGTTACTGGATCTATGAAGGAAAAGATAAAACATCCGTAAACTAACCTGGCTAAGATAATGGCCACATCATATTTCACTTGATATCATGGAAATAAAACTGCACAAGCATGGAATAGAAGACAGAGTAGCAAGAGTTACTACTGCATTTTTCTTCATATTGTTATTTTGAAGAAAAAATATTTATTCCATAGTTTTAAGTGTTTCCATTTTGTATGCAATCGATACATTCAAATAAAGAGAGTAGATATCCTTAAGTTGCTCCATGAAACAGGCAATTTGAAACAGATATACACATGTTCTTAAAAAAAAAATTATGGTACTATTAGCAGGCCTGATAATTTAAAGAAATGGGTTGTTAAAAATAGATTACCATTGTGTATTTGGATAGTGGCTCATTTGTGCTCTATTTTTATACTACTGTGATTTCGTTTTTTTGTGTATATGTTTGTACAATATTTATTATATGATTGTTATATTTATATTAGAGATTGAGGGCTATTGAAATAACCGACTTGCCCAGCTGCCCGGTGGTGCCCCCGACACCAGAGTTACCTACAAGGTACGCTGATTTCTAGGGAGTTACCATGTTGTGATGTCACCTCAGGAAGCAATGCTTCTTCCTAGGAAGGCATGATGTCAGCAGATCAGTCTGGACTGATGCTGTTGATGTCTGTTTCTTCTCAAAGTATCTCTTTCATGAGAACTACTTTGAGGACCCAACATAAACCTACATGGCAGAGTCTTGCAGCTTAAAATTTGGTTGAGTATTTAAAATATTCAGCCTCCTGTAAGCATCCAAACACATTTCTGTTTGGATGATTCATGACTCCTTTATTTTCTGCTACATTGTGATTCTGACTCAATACCATCATTCACAGACCAGAGTTTTGCTTATAATAGGTGTGTCTGATGAAGACAAACTGTATCTCCCTTGTGCCAAAACTGCATGAGCAGATAACATAAGATTGACACTAATACAGTGAAAATGCTGTATGAGAGCTGTCTTTTTACAAGATTATCTGATGTGATACATTTCACATTTATTTCCTATACTTTGGGCTGCTAAAAATAAATAGTCGCCATTCTCGCTTTGGTTAAACAATATAATTGGAAATGCAGAAAGTCACATTGATACTATGGCCCAATGGCAGAAAGTATATCCACTTGCAAATAGTCACATTTGGTCCTGCCTAAATTTAGAGTATATTCTTCTTGCCAAATTGGACATGCCTATTTGCAAATAAACTAAAAATGCTAATGCACTTAAAACCTAATTTTTGCTTTTCTCCTACCCTTGATTTTCCTGTGTCCATATTAGTGTGAATTTAGTTAGGAAAACGCTTTTTAAAAACTAGATTTTTTTTTTAAGATTTTATTTATTTATTTGACAGAGAGAGAGGGAGAGAGACAGCGAGAGAGGGAACACAAGCAGGGTGAGTGGGAGAAGTAGGCTTCCCGTGGATCAGGGAGCCTGATGCAGGGCTTGATCCTAGGACCGTGGGATCATGACCTGAGCCGAAGGCAGACACCTGATGACTGAGCCACCCAGGCGCCCCTAGATTTTTTTCTTAATCCTGCAATAAAATATTCTCCATTAGATTAGTTTTTATGGTTTTTAAGCTACTTTTTGAATGCAAATTCATTTTAGAAGAACAAGCACCTAAGAATCTTACTTCTATCATCTCATTAGGAAATTATTTTTATACTATTGTGAGGAATAGAAAAAGCTGTATGAGTAAATTTTGTTAAAGATCACTTTTGAAGAATCGTTTCTATTTAACTTGCCACCCATAGTGAGTTCGTGAATGAAGCCTCAAATCAGGTTTCCTGCCTATGAACTTAACCTCAGCCCGATGACCCCACTGTGTTTCCACACCTACTTTTACTGTGTGCATGCCTAGTGAGCCAGTCACTGAACCATCACCAGGCCATAGAAGCAGGCTGCTGGCGCCAAAGGACCTTCTTCGCTTTCTGTCAGAGTCTTTACCCTAAAGGAGTTTGAGTTTCTAGGCTTTTTTCTTGTATCTCCTCGGCACCTTACTTGGGAGATATAATGGATACCCAGGAATGAGATAACTCCTTAGGACCTGGAAGGGGCCAGGCACTTAGCCTGGCAAGACAGATCTTTTTTTTATTTTAAAGATTTTATTTATTTATTTGACAGAGAGAGACACAGCGAGAGCCAGAACACAAGCAGGGGGAGTGGGAGAGGGAGAAGCAGGCTTCCCGCTGAGCAGGGAGCCTGATGCGGGGCTCAATCCCAGGACACTGGGATCATGACCTGAGCCAAAGGCAGACACTTAATGACTGAGCCACCCAGGTGCCCCATGGAAAGACAGATCTTGATGTGAGAATGGGACAGGGCCCCAGTGCCTATTGTTTCCTTTCTCCAAATTTTCTTGGAAGAAATTCTACCACATCTTTCAAAAGACAACAAAGTTTTCAAAAGCAAAGTTTAAAACCAGGCCAATTTCTACCTTCCAGTCCCTCATGGATCTTCCTCCTAAGCAACTTTCCAAACCAGCCAAAACAAGAAGCAAGTATCTTTATTCTATTTCATTTCCTATATTGAATCTTCTAAGAGAAGAGATTCAAAATAGGGCATGGACACCTTTCATTTTTCAAATGAATATTTGCGAAGAATTTCTAAAGTTTACAAAAGCAAACATTTCTAATTCTCCCGAACAGAAATCAAATATAAACTGATAGGCTTGAGATAAATGAGCAATAATTTGCATTTGAATTTACTACACTTTTGCAAATAGGCTTGTTCAAGTGTGATAAGATTTTTAGATAGTTTTGCCTAAATATTATTTATAATAAGGCACACTAACCATGATAAATGTGAATGGGCTTCACATCTCATTACATTTTAATGTTTAGGGAGGAGTTTAATGTTCAATAAAACATATGAATTTAAAACATCTTAATTTTTCTTAAATTAACATTTTCTCAAATTACAAATGGAACTTACGTTAGTTCATCCTTTCTATCTAAATTTTCATTTGCCTTCCATGTAGTTTTCCTTATTAGCATCCTCGAAATTGATCCCTTAAGAAACATATTAAGAGGTTTCACTATTTGTTTGGTTGGGCTTTTTTTTTTTTTTTTTTACTATATGAGTGATAGTGTCATGAAAACCAATCTTTCCCACTGTGATTTATTTGTGACCCACCATTACATATAAGCAATGATCCCATTGTGGGCCTATTTCATTTCTTTGCAAAAAGGCCACACATTTTTCTACAGAATGAGGTAACCTCTAGACTAGGTTGGCACTTTGTTGACATGCTCAGCAGAGAAGCCAATGCAAGGGGGAAAAATGTAGGCATTTAACCATCTTCTTCTTTCTAGGTGAGGTCTTTCCAAAATAAAGTTGAGAAACAAAAGGAGAGACTCAGGGGCCTGGGGACAGATTGAAGTGTTTTTGTGTGTAGAAGACTTTGGCCATAAAATTTCATTTTCTCAAATGCAACAACAATATCAATCGTTGTCCTTCCCCAAAACTCAGCAAGTTTTTCAGTGGCTTGAAATTTGTTTTGCAAACCCATTAACTGAATCAGTATCTTACTCTGGAAGTAAATTTTAACTAATTCATCTTATTTTCCTAACAGGAAATGACAGACAACATGAGCAATGGAGGACCACAACTGATATTTAATGGAAGAGTATAATCAATGTTTTAAAGAACTGAACATTTTTTAGGATTTTCATGAGGAAAGGAAATACCAAAGGAGTAGGGGATAAAATTAAAACAGTTCTTGCATTTGTTTTTATCTATTGTGAGCACCCAGTATAATCATTCTCCCTCAGTTTTGCCTCACTTATTTCTTCAGCTTTTTTTGGCGGGGGGGGGAGGTGAGAACCTTTCAGAAATGTTCTGGTGCAGGAATTTGAACAGACTTTCCAGATTGTTCTAAAGACTTTTCAGGGGAAAAAAAGGAGGAATAAACAGAAAGATTAATATTCTACAAAAACACTATTTGACTAGCATGAGTATTAGATTTGTAATGACGTATTTCTTATAAATAATCAAAAGTGCAAATATCAAGAAATAACAATAACTTATTGATGTCTTTGTTTTGAAAGACAATGACTTCAAGAATACCACAATTCAAAACCTCAGTAATGCCTTGTTGTAAAAACATTATAATTATTTCCAATTTGTGAATGAATTAATTTCATAATTTATTTGTAAATGACAAAAAAACCCTAAAGCATAAAAAAGAAATTTTTTTTAGAGAGAGACCATACTAATCTGTATGATATTTTTGCATTTTTGCACAGGGTGAAAAGTTATAATGAATATCCTTAAGGAAAATAAATATGTTTTGATTATACCATGCAGATTGATCTGCATGTTCATGAATGAGCCTAAGAATAAAATACAGTATGTGTGTATGTGTGTGTATATATACTGTAAATATAAAAATATATACAGCATATATTTATAGCATTCATGAATGTAAATAGGTAATCAAAAAGAAATTGTAATGCTCTTGGGGTATTATCAAGATCTATTCCCAAAGAGATGGGAAAGCAATTTTTCAAGGCTTTTCTATGTCCACAAAATCACATGTTTGATTTCTACTAAATTTGTTCATTTTTATTCTTTTTATTATGTCTGCTGTGTGTAAATATCATTGTGACTGATCTTTATGGAGTTGAGTGATCTGAATACTGTAGTATAAAGATAGATTACTTATCTGGCTATTTTACTATTATGGTATTTATGTAATAACAATGATTAATACTGATTTATAAACATAACAACTTTAAAATCACATACTTCCACATTTATAAATACAGACATAATGACTTGTGATTTTCATGATACTTACATTTCAAATACTTTGCAGCCCAATTAAATTATATAAAAGGACAGACGATGTATGCCCAAAAGGTAAAGTTATAATTCACTTTGCTAGAATTTAATTTAGATCTTTTTAAAATTTTAAAATTTATGTGAAATAATACAGACAGACCATTTTTAAGAATACATACATCCAAAGAACCTGAAAGAGTTCTTTGTAGAAGGAAATAAAAAGATAGGCTTACATTTATATAGTTAGATTCAATCCTTCTCTTCCATAATGAAATGTTAAAATAGCCATCTATGACAATATGAATAGGCAAGAAAATAGCATGGTCTTTGAAAATATTTATGAGAATACAACCTCTGGTAACAGATAAAGAAATCTACTATTTTAAAATATGTGGTTCTCACTGTACTGTATACTTCTTTTTTTCCCCAAAGCTAATCAATTTTCAGCTCATTTTTATGAGTTACTTATTGAACCATAGTAAATTCAACCTTGAATATTCAGGATGAGAACATGTTATCATTTAGAAACAAAATATGGGTTTTAATTACGATAACAAAATAATAACTCCACTTAATGGAAATCTGAAGGTCTTCTCGTTTTAGAGCATCGTGATCATCACTTACCCTATTTGAGTCAACTCATAAAAAAAAATTCTGGCTGTAGAGAGTCAAAAGAAATAGCTGGGCTATGGTTGTTTGATGTAGTGTTTGAAGTCTCCTAACTCATATGAATAACTTCATTATCCAGTAGATTACAGAAGTTGCCCATAAATGCAACCTCAAATAGTGAATCAACATTATCACTATTCTTTTGATGCCACAAACAGGCATAGTCTTTATCACTGAAAATCTAAACTATATGATGCAGATATTTTGTATATATATATCACTCTACTGAATTTACACAAGGATGTAGTTTTGTACTGAAGGAATAACCACTGACTCTAATTTTAGGTGGCATTTCTTTGTAGACATATTTGTATAATACAGAGTTCTAATACATCAGTAAGATGTTTTAATGCCTTTTGAAATAATTTATGAAATCACCCATCAAAGGACAAAAGTAGGCATATCACTGCTTCGATATAGAGTTAAGAAGAGATGCAATCATGACAATTATCCAAATAGTCTACTGTGTATATAACCAGATATAGATATGTCTTTAAATGTAGTTCTTTTAACCCAATATTTTCAGGGCTCAGTTATTTAGAGGGATTCATTTGGGATGTAGAGTGATTCTTCCTGAGATAAGTAGGGGATGCTAGGAAGACATTGTTCAAGTACCTGAAAATTTCATTTTCACGGTAAATCGAACTACGAACTAGAATACTTTAAGTGACTACACTACAGTTTTGGTGTGAGCCTACCCTTGGGGGAAAGTAAATTAGGAAAAAAATATGTGACACTAGTGTGGTGGTGTGCTATAGAGACTAGCTAAAAAAGGTGAAGTTATTATAAGCATAAAAGAAAAAAGTGGGCTCTGCTTGGAAAATTTTAAACATGTGTGTTTAAACACACACACACACACATACAATTGTTTGGAAGTGGAACATGGTATGATGACTCTATTGATATGTCTATGTAATAAAATGGTGTGCTTTGAAACTGCATATGGTGTGAACTCTCTTTCCATCGTGATAGAAAAAATAGTTTCCCCCACTAGGTTCTGAGATTGGCAGGGGACAGGATGCGGTGAATGAAGAGGCAGAGGGAGACCCAGCTAGTGGATATGGAATTCAGACAGGGTATTTTCTGAGACAGGAAAGATGAAAGTGTGTTCAAATGTAGAGAGGGAGTAGGTGAAGATGCAGGACAAAACGAACATAAGAAAGGGAGGTCCCGTGGAGGTGGGCGTTAATAAGATACACATTGTAGGAGACAGATTTAGCTATAGATAGGATTGAAGTGGCAGGGGATCTCAGAGATGAAACCACAATATCCAGAGAACTCTGCTAACCTTGTGCTTGTCAAATTATTGCTACTGGCTTTTGGGGTGGACAGTAATTCATTGTGCAGACTGCCCTATGCGTTTTAGGCCATTAAGCATCTCTAGTCCCCCATCTACTAAATGTCAGGAAGATTCGCCGGGTGTTACAAACAAAAATGTCCTAACAAATTTTCACCTATCTCTTTGGCAGGTAAGTATTGCCTCCTAATTGAGAGCCACTGAGGAAAACCCGTGAACACAATCCCGAGCGGACAATGTTAATGCTACTTACAAATGTAGACTTGAATTGCTCAGAGTCATAAACTCACTATTCTAAGGTCTGCCTGTATTATCTGATACAGTAGCCACTAACCTAACCACGTGTGATTAAATGTATGTATAAATTAATAAAAAAAAATTAAATATTCAGTTTCTCAGTTGAACTGAGCTAGCCACATTCCAGGTGCTGAATAGCCAAATAGGGACAACAGCCCCTCAGAAAGTGTTACCCGTCAACGCTAGTCAAAACTACAGAGAGGGCAACTATCCTTAACCCTCAGTCAACCAAGTATCATTATAATAAAATGTGAAAAAAATTAGTAAACTCTCCATGGAATTTGAAGCTGATGAAACAGTTAAATCCATGGACTAAGAAAAACTAGCAAAAATGCAGTGTGGGCCAAATCCATAAGGAAGTTTAAAGTTGCTAGAGTTTTCATGTTTTAAAAAAATTCTGTTCATGGAAATATTCTACTAAATAACTAAATATTTTATGTTTGACAGGTAAAATGAGATGTTGTGTAACTTCTATTTTTGAAGAAATTTACTCAGCCTATTACCATGCATCAATGAAAAATTCTGCATTTCTTATGCTTGGGAAGGTGAGAACAACAGTCTGCTGCCCTCTACTTTTTTCACTGACTTAAGCTCAAAAGTGGCATGTTTAGAAACCATATGTCCAAGGCTACATTTTCAAAGATTATTTAGCAAACACGTTTCAGAAATTAAGATAGAGCATCTTAAGTACCATTTGGTTAGAACACAGTTTCCAAATAAAGTTTCAGAACTTGGCATCACTTCATTCTTGTCTTCCTTAAATCATTTTTTCTGGAAACATATGTAATATTTCTTACTCAAAGTATGTGACAGCCAAGAAATTCAATTATTCCAAAACCATAAATCACAGGTTGTGAGTTACTCAGAACAGAGGAAACTGATTCAGGAATTGCTTGATATGTGGATGCCTAGTAAAATTATACAAAAAAAATTTTTTTTAATTATTTTTGCCAGGAAAAATATTTACTGAATACAAGAGTCTTTTACTAGGAATATATTTCCCAAGAAATATATTGTAAAAAGTTAAACTCTGGATCTAAACAAATGGATTTCAATATTTTAATAGTTCAATATTGTCTACATTAACTAGTTATAGGCACATAGCCTTCATTTAACTGTAAATCCTGAAGAACTAGGTTCCATCTTTAAACTTTCCTTCACATCGACTAGGGACTATTGATTTTGAAGTTTTTTTCTTTATTAACACCCAGAGGCTCTAATCTCTTAGCCACATAATAAATTATTGCAAGCCCTACCTCAAAAGCTAAAATGTATTGTGTTACTGAAAATTGCCAGAGAGACTCTAGAATTTGGCTGAAGCTTCACAGAAAGTCCTAAAGTCTTGTCAAATTTGCATCAAGTGTTTGACTAACCTCAAGGAATCAGGACTCATGACTGCTCCTTGTTATTTATCAGTCAGGATATTTGTCCTCACCTATTCACTAAGACAGAGGTCCTCCAATGTCATTTCACAATCCAGATGGAGGGCTGGAAGATATTCCTTGTGCTCTCCAAGATCCTTGCTCAGGAAAGAAAAGCTACAGATTTCTTTGTGGGGTCTCTACCATCCCCCACTCTGTCCTTCATTGTCAATCAGCCAAGGAAAGAGGTAACAATCAGTCTTACTCATGCAAATGTACTCTAAGGGCCCTATGCTATCTAGATGTGCACTCCCCTCATTAATATCTAAAATATCTTTTGAGATCTGGACTTCTGTGTCTTTTTTATCTTCTAATTATATCAATATTTTTACATTGATCTCTGAGAAAAAAATTAATTTTAAAAGGATCTAGGTCTTCTAAAATAAAACAAATTGCTGGAAAGAATTTTGTTTCCAAGTCATAATAGAGTTAGTGGTTATATTAGCCTATTGCTATCTGTCAGCAAAAAGGATGGCAGTGAAGCAGGTGAAAACCATTTATCAAGTGTTATTATAATGTGCATCATC